AAAAATATATATATATATATATATATATATATATATATGATTCTAAAGCAAAAAAAATGAGATTATTAGAGCTGAAGGTTTTCATTTACAAGTTTGTAGCACTGATGCTGTTTCGAGAAGATCACAAAGAATATATATATATATATATATCCAGCCATCAAAATCTTTTTGTTTTCATACTAGAACTCCTGGGCTTATCAGAATTGGGAAGTTAATGCTCAACTTTCAACAGCTGGTCCAAAAAACCTGGGGACACCAAACATTTTGCATTTTCCTATGAGGTTAATGAACATTTGTACATGGTTCAAAACAGATATTGAGCTAGGCTTATGTTTCGGGCACAGAGTACCAAATAGACACTGTGGACCTGTGTAAATATATCCACATATACAATTGATCTTTTCAAATGTGCGATGAGAAGCACGCCTTAGGTGTTGCAAATCATCTGGCATTTTATTTGATTTATTTCACATCACCATCGTTTTTGTTCCTTTTTTTACTTGTCGTCTATGTGAATTAAACTCTGTAATAGACACTTACCTGAGCAGACTAATTCAAGAATACATTAGATTGTTCATATTGATCATAGAGTTTATCGATTTTTCAGATTTCACTTTCATTCACAAGTTGTGCGAAGGTGGTGGAGCCATTTCAGACCGTGGCTGAACTTGGTATAAATGCAGACATGAATTGAGTCTGTATCTAGATTAAAACTCCTAGTCAAGTAATTTAGTCCTGTGACCCAAGGTGGAAGCTCAGGAGTGAGGCTGTCTGAATTTGAAGCCTGGCTCCAACCTCTAAACTCTCACTGGGTGACCTTAGGATAAGTTGCTTACACTCTCCGTGTCTCAGTTTGTTACTTCTTGGGGTTGTAGGGAGGATTATATAAACTGAAAGATGTAAGGCACCCAGGACACTGCTTGACAGGTATGTGCTATCCCCATTTTTGCTATGATTATTGTCATAGCAGGTTCATCAAGCAACACTGCTCTAATACGCTAACTACAAGTCAGAGATTGACATCCTCCCCACTAAATCTGGGTAGCCGCGTGGGCGAGAGCATGGGAGGGAGATCAGACAGACCTGAGAGTCTTGATTTGCTCTGATAGTCAAGTGATCTTAGGGAAGTGCCTTAGCTTCTCCACGCTGTTTCCTCACCTGCAAGGCACCAACAATATGTACCGCATAGGCTGCTGTGAGGACTGAATGAGCGAGTCCATAAAAATTCCTGACACATGTTACATGCCAATAATTGATAGCTGTTAATGAGTTGTTCAGACACTTTCACCACATCATTGAAGCGCAGTAATAGGCGGTAACTATAAGAATCATTAAGCTTCTGTTTTAGTATTTATTTTGAACAATTGCCCTTTGCTTATTTTAAATAATCACTTGCACCTTGTTCAGATATTTCTCCCTTTGTATTATTTAAAATCAAGAACTGTTTTCCTTTTTGGTTTTTTAGGGAGAGAATGAGGAATAAATAGGCTGGCTTTTTTTTTTTTTTTTTTTTTTTTTTTTTTTTTTAATCCTGGAAGGAATGAAATCTTGTTTTCACTAGTTAGGTATGTTAAAAATTCCTTGGTTTTAAATACTCAGAGATCACAGTGCTTTGGTTTAATTATTGATCGCTAATCAAGCAAAACCAGAAGCCTAAATTTCCATTTTCACACTTTAATTCTATCCTATGAGCTGAATTTCAAGCTGAATTTGATTTCTGCAAAGGACTGCTAAATTCCTGACCCAACACTCCAGTAGACTATCTCTGCTGCAGCGTGACAGTGACTTGGTACTGCGCCTTTATTTTTTTTTCCTTTTGCAAATCCCCTGTTGAGTAAGGTACAGTGGCAGCATCATAATTTTAGTATCAATTGCAGAAGCTCCAAATTTCCCCATGATTGAAAATCCTGCTTCAATGCAGGGAACTGCTTGCCTGTTGTAATCCGTCAAAGAGGATGGAAGTTAAGATGGCAGAAAGAAACTTTTCATGTGTTTTCAAACTTACATGGAGCTAGAAGGCCATATATAATGCAAGGCGAAGGTCTCAGGGTGTTTGGTCAGACACAATGGGGAGCAGATTTCCAAGGCTGTTTGATGCAGTACTTGTTGCAGTTGAATACTTTAGAAAGACAGAAATGTGACCTTAGGATAAGTTGCTTACACTCTCCGTGTCTTTGGGAATACCGGCACAGGAGAGAAGTATTCATTGCAAGTACACCCTCACTAAGCAAGGCTATTATGAGATCCTATTTTCCTCATGAAGATGTTTTCTATTACCTGACATCAGGTGCTTAAAACTCAGGCTCTTTCTCATTTTGTGGCTTACTTTTTTTTTTTTTTTTTTTGAGGTGCTGCCAGATGAGTCACTTTCTATTCCACTGCAAAATGGGAATTGCCTAGAAAAGATTTTTAAACTGCTCATTTGAATAAAGACTTTTGAAGTTGAAAATATCTGAATGCCAAGGGATGTCCATTAGTATATTCTTTAAATTTTCTTTTTTCTTCCTCATGCTTCTTATTTTAGTGTTCTAGTACCTTGCTTTTGGGTCTCTACAGACACCAAAGAATTTAGTTAACCCATCACATCTGTTAAAAGGACTACAAGGAAGTCATGAGAAATCTTTCAAACACTCAAGGAAATAAGACAAGACACAGAAATGAATTGCAACAATTTGCTTTATGAAAAGTGAGGTGCCTCTGGGGTCTCTGAGGAGTGAGATGAGGAATGTGATCCCTGTGGCTTAGGGGCACAGTGTCCACAGGAATGAAAGTCAGGTTGCACTCAGAAAAACCATCAAGACATGTGTCGGCAGTTCCTTAACATTCCCTATGAAGTGACAACTATTATGTAATGGATATTTTTACCTTTATAAGTGAGCTCAGATGCTTTTTCTTCCCTTCCCTTCTTTCACCATATCCCTAAAATGAGCTAGCTACGCTCCCTATTGTGATCCCACAGGCCGGTGTGCAGGCCTCCATGATCAACCTATCTTTTGCAACTGTAGGTATGTTTGCTTATGAGTGCTGAGGAAATGGCTCCAAATCTTGTTCCTTTTCATATTTCTCTTATGTGCCCGGGACAATGCCTAATACAGAATGGTGGCTCACTGCATATTTGAGCAAAAAATGTATTACTTGTTTCCATGAAGGTTTCCATCACTGTGAAAATACCATTTTTTTGGATTATAATATGATTTTGTCCCCACAAAGTGTTCCACTGAGACACATCTCAGAGTTCAGGATTAATGAATGCTTCTGTTGTCTTTGAGCACTTTGTCCATTCTAATAGCGAGAATTACGCAATGCGCAGATTCCCTTTACTGCTTCGCGTTCCATGAAACTCAGAAGCTCACAACTCAGCTTGATGTTCAACTGAAAACACCATTTGGCATTTAATGTTTGTATTATTTTCTTTCTACTTTTTTTTTTTCAGATCTTTCTTTAAAAAAAAAAATCCCAGTGGGCATGTGTGCTCACCAGACACATACACACACATACACAGAGGAAGAACCTCCCTTGGAGCATGATCATGCTACAATCCCTTCTCCTTCATTCCCCATCCTGTTGGGGAAGGATAAGGTGATACACATGTCAAACATATTTTTCAAGCTTCCAGGGCCAAGATTCAAACCACACAGTCATGTGGGATCCAACTCCCTTAACCACTAGGCTAAAGGTAACTCTCAGATTTTCCTTTTAAATTCCTATTTTGACATTGTCTTTTCTCCTAAGCCTCACAGGAGCAAATACAGATTTTGTGGGACCTAATGTTTCTAAAAATCTATGAACTCTCTTTAAGGACAAGAATATAATATTAAAATGTAAAATTAGGTCTAAAACTGATTTTTAAAATTTTAGTTAGAGGAGTCCAATGAAAGGTCCTGAAGTTAAACTGTATTAGTTTAAATTCACCTTAGAAAGAACCACAAAAATACTTGGGAAGGAAAAATAAATGAGAGCTGCATAAAAAAAAGAAGGAAGGGAAGGAAGATACTAGATAGGTTAGTTCAGAATAAATGACACAAAAATTGAAAAAGAGATGTAAAGAAATTTCTTATTTGGTTCCTTTATTTTATGGTAAAGGTATAGATAAATGCAAACGTAGGACCAGCAGATTGCTCAGTGGTTATGTTGCTGGACTCCCACAAGCCATGGTTCAAGTTCCGGCCCCAGTGGCTTGAAACTCACACCAGGTGCATGTGCATGTGTGCCCAAAATCCCTAGGAGAGAATGAATGAGAAAGGATTATGGCATGGCCATCCCCCCCTGGGGGTGATTTCTTGCTTTCTGTCTCTCTGGTAAGCACATGTGCCCTATAGCAAAAATATCTCTCTCTCTCTCTCTCAAAAAAAAAAAAAAAAAGAAAGAAAAAAAAAGAAATGCAAATGTTCTGTTCAAGCTGAGCCCTTTGTATTTAGCACGGAAGCATATTTGAGACATTGCCAAACTGACACTGGGGAAGTGAAGCACCCACGTGCATAAGTTATACTGGAAGCTTCTGTAATATATGGTACATAATTTTAGTTGTAATGCTCTCTTAGCATAGAAACATCACTTCAGTCAGA